ATATATATATATATATATATATATATATATATATATATATATATATATATATATCATAAGCCCTAAAGATTTCCCCGGGGAATTTCAGATATTAATTATTTTAAGAAGAAAAATCACTTATTTCATGTTCTTGTGAACACTGGTTCCTAAAACTAAACTAATCTTCAGAAGTTTCACTTCGTCCTCCTCAACCTCAATGAAATTTGTAAAAGCTGCGCAGCCTGCACTTGAATTAAAAGGAAAAGTGGGTTTTCAAACTGAATCTAAATTTAAATATATTGAAGGAAAAGAAAACCAAAGACGAAATTTCCACAGCAAGCCTTGAATCTTTCAGTATGAAATATAAATCTGACCGTATATGCCAATACTAAGCTCACGATACAGATTCGTTCCACAGCGGACCAGCGATAAAAATTAGATCACGAGGAGCTGGAATTAGAGCACTAAAAAAAGGTAATATACACGTATATGTACTGAAGAAAGAGATCTGCATACCACACACCCATTCATTAATATTTCATGATAGTTCTAAACTTTAATTGTTTGTGAACTATATTTTTTACTGGTTATCTTTCGTAAAACGAAAATCAGTTATTAATAAAGCATTTAAGTACTTTAAATATAAGTCATAACATCTTGAACTACCGTGCGTGCACAAATGGAAATCCATAAACCAGATAAGAATGCTAAAAAGGTCAGACTTTCAAACTGTCTCTTTAAATATAGCTTATAACCCACTTGTGCTAAAAAAAAAATAATTTTAACAAACGAAACTTAATAATAAACAATTGAAATTATTACTACATCAATACATTGAATAGGAAAATATTCTTAAAAGCCGAGATATAGAGACGAGTATGTTTTCCACCTTCGTACACCGTGTTTTCGGTGTACGTTCTCATGATATTTAGCTTGTAACTGGTATATTCTGGCTGATGGATTTCCTACAGAGCAAAGTATGGATTCATTTACTTTTTGGACTCCGAACGAATTTGTCAGTAAAGAAAGAGTCGGTACAAATAATTTACAACAATCTTTATTAAAACAAACCTGAACGAAGTAAAAACACAATGATATACAAAACAAGGGTTTGTCGAATTTGCAAGAGTTTTTATTTTGTTTTTTTTAGCGCAGAGCCACATAATTGGCTATATGAACTCTGTCCACCACGAAGAATTGAACCCTGGATTTTAGCTTGTAAACTTATTGCGGACTCATTGGAGGATAGACAAGAAAATGTGAAAAGAAACCTGTATTGTTTATCTCTTGTCAATTCCATGAGGGCTCACTTAAAAAAGAAAGTTAAACAGAACCCCCTAAGTGTTAAAAAAAAACTTGAAATCTACTCTTGTGCAAAAAAACAGAAGAGTTAAAATGAATGACGACAATGCCTCTAGTAAAACCTTTAAGCCTATGAAAAATATTTTCAAAACTCGCAGTCAATATAAATCGACATAAAAGGTGAGTACCTTTTATGCATAATAACAAAGCCTAGTTCTCGAGTCACGTGACCTAAAATCATAAGCATTATAACGGACGGGCGAGGAATCATGGGCCATCATGCAAATCTGTTTATTTCGGGACACGTGCGAAGTTATGGTTATCTTTCATGCAACACGCTTAATGATCAATCAGTGGATCCAACTCCTGTGTACATCTAAATATAGGATACGCCATGTTGTTTATACTTGAACAATTCTCTGCGTCCAAACCGAACTAAAAAAAACGTAAATTTCAAACAGTTTTACATATTAACTAAAGAGGTAATTAACACATGGTACATGCCTGTATCACATAAAAAAAAGCTACATCATCTTCTACAACTTTGAACCATTCTAGTACTTGTTTCTAATTATTATTTGATATACTGTGTTTTTTCTGCACTGTAAACCTAATAGACAGCTTACTTTTGTAAAGCGTTATAGCATTAACTCGTTTTACATATTTATTTTAAACCAAATATCTAATTTTCGAAAGAGGCATAGTAAGTAGCTTTAATTCCACACATTATAGATTTTGGGTTCAGTTTTGTCATATTTGTAGGGGAGTCAGGTGAAATGAGAAACTTGTTTCCTTGCGTTGCTCTTATGATTAGGTTGGAAGAGATACTTTTGTACAAATTGAGAATTCCCTCGTTTGTCCAATAAAGTTTAATGGTTGTTTTGCCTCTGTAGTCGTCTTGGAAAATATTAGATAGGTAATTTCTAATATTTTAAATTGTTTTCAGTGCTTTAAGTAAATCAGTAGAGAAGCACTACACTCACTCGAAAATAGG